TCCCATTTCTCCTTTCTTGGTTAATAATATTCAGTTTTACAAAAGCAAAACTATATGTTAAGTACACGGGTAACTATTAACACACATACCAATCTTTCCAGGGGGTATAAGACATGGTGATGTCAAAGGCCGTGAGCTTGAAAAGAGTTATGCACAGAAACATTTCTGTTTGCATGGCACATCTTGGTAAATGCCAACTTAAAATAATGACCATTCTATATTTTAGAGTGGCTACCTTCTTCCACAACTCTCTTCACAGTGGCTAACAGAATGTCAAGCAATGTATTCAGAGTATAAGAAAATGAAGTCCTAACTTCTTGGGAGTCTCTCACAGAGTGGGAGGGATCTGCTGATCATCAGTTTAATTACTCCCAAAAATTGGCCTAGAAATACTCTGACTCACAGCATACATGCTTATGTTATGCTTGTGAATACATACCAACATTATATTCAGCTTAAATTTGGTGAAGCAGAAGGTGTTTTAATTTTCCCTTCACTGTCTGTATCAAGTGGGCATCATTGCCACCATTAATAAATACTTTTTAAAAACAATAAAGAACATGAGACAGTGGGATATCATCTTCTTTGTAGAATATTGTAAATAATTGCTTGCCCTGTGCATACTGCAAAGCTATGGAACATTCTCTCAACAGATTTGTTGGTGGTCCATATAAAAAGAAACAGCAAACTATTGCTGCTAGCTATTTTAGGGTTTAATGCAATATTTTGCATAAAGGATATCTGGAATGGCAACTTTTCACAAGTTAGTGTGAATTTACAACTGTTTTGATCTAGATTTGGCAATTGTACACTGAAATCTGTCTAGGGGGCTACTGAATATTACTGTGCCTGCAATGACTTGCATTGGACCCCTGAGGCATTCTCTGGAAAGAAAATATATTTTGTTTAGAAGCTTGCTTATAGTAGGGCATCATTTGGCAATAAATTGATGAAGGTTGTTTCAAAAGGACTAAAAACTTACAAATATTCCACTGAATTTGAAGGAACGTATTTCTTTAAAGGAGTTAGGAAAAACAAGTTCATACAAGAATGGATAATAAGTATTTACAAAGCTGGAAAGAAAGGAATAGAACATTTTCTTGGTAACATTAGATTAAAATATGTTTCCTAGAGTGTTGCCAGCAAAAACTTTGCTTTTGGCCTTCAACCATTCAGTACAATTGTTAGATGTCTCACCACATCTTGTTGTCCAGCTGTTGAAGACAGCTGTTGGAGAGGCTTTTTTGTGGGGTTATCTCATCTGATGGAATGTATTTGTTTGTGTGAGAACATCAACCAACCATATTCAGAAACTGTGATATTACATTACGTCAGTGTCCAGAACTTAAAATCAGTACATATTTATACATCATAAATAAATCACTAGGAACTAAAGGCCAAGATCCATTGTACTTTTATGTACCAATAGAGTTTTGTACATTCCCTGTTTTGAAATAAAAGTGCCATTTTGTTTGAACTTCTGACTGCTTTAATTTCATTCAAAACTGTTCTCTCCCCTATTTTGGATACATTTTTTTTGTAGGAAGTAAGTATATCCTATGGGCCACCTACATTTACCCACCCTAGGAGGTACTACTGAGTTAGACATCGGGGGCTCATTTCATCAGCTCTGTGAGAGGGCTCTCAATCCATCCCACACTGGCATTGCCTCAGTTTTCACACCCACTCTAGGTAATTTATCTTGTGCTCTGCATACCTTGCCTTGGAGCTCTGGATAGGTTAACTATATCCCAAATTAAGAAGTCCACCAGTTCCAGAGTTAGGAAAATAAAATAATGCTATTTCATATCTTAACTTTGCAGTGCAGGGACTTCACAAAGACTTCTGCTCTCTCTAGACTGTTGGGCCTTTTCCTAGGTTTTTGGGACTTCATCTCACTCTGCTTGTAGCAAGTGTTCAGACTTCTTGCTGCTAGGGTTCTAAAAGGAGTATTTTGCATTTGGTTGCAGGTGTTTCAGTAAGTATACCTCAGGGTGGCACCAGGAAAACACAGGAGAGCCTTGACCTTCTCTCTACCTCTTCCTCCAGTGCTGAAGCCCAAATCAATTAAGCGGCCAACATCCACCTCCAACATGCTCACATCCTTCCTTCTTCCAGGCTTCTACTTTCACTTGTCTGCTTGCCTTCTCACTAGTCCATCCTCTCAGGCTTCCCTAATGGCTCTCTTTTTACCATGACTGCAAGGCTTCACTCAGTCTAGTCCCTGTCAGCAGGCTGCTGCTCTTCACGTCTCCCCTGACAGAAAGTAGGTCCTATTCTGTTTGGATCTGTAGTAAGGAAAGCAAGCAATCTCTATTACTCTTTTTCTGCAGCATGCTTTACTACCACCCTATAGTTTCCAGGTTCTTCTGGAAATTAGCATGGTGATCGGAATTCCTCACTTTTCAGGGACAGACAATAGTGTAAGTGAGGGGATGCAACTGGAGAAGCAGTCCCTGGTGCCATCTTTTTGGGGATTTTGGGGGAAATGCAGAAATAGCCATCACTGCAGGAGCAGCTAACCACACTGTGGCTATTGGTATCACGGCAGTCTGATGGTGCCCTCTGAGCCACAGCTGCTCTGTTCCACCTCTGGAGCTAAAGGTTGGCCTCATGCACATAATTCCTTATTGACTTCTGCTAGAGTCAATGCTCTGTTGACATTTATTGACTTCTGCTAGTAGTTTTACCTCTCAAGATTGAACCTTCACAATAGATCACATATAAGCAGCACTGTAAAGACTGAAAAGAAAATGTAGACCAAATATACAGAGCTTGGTTGTCTGAAGTTAACCACTTTACAACCTTATTCACATACATAATCTTTAAAATGTTGTCCTAAATTCACTTTTTAGCCATGAGCAACAGGCATATATATCACAACCCCTCTCCTATCGCAAACGAACGAATCAGCTGAATGAATGAATCAGCTACTCTGTACGTATTAAACCATGAGAATCAGAGCTGTTAACAGAGGACAATTAGAAGAACCTGGTTGTGATATCAAAATACATTCCCACCTTGCATAGCAATTTATAGGGGACCTTGAATAACTGGAGCAGGATTTGTTCTCAAATACAACTTTGTTCTTCTTCCACCAGTATATAAACTTTTAAAATATCTTTGATAATTTTGGACTTTAGTCACAACTTTCCTGCCAGAGACAATACTATACAACTGGTTCAATGATGAAATAGGTTGAGAATATGTCCTCTAGCTCTGTTCCTTTTGATGGCTCCTGCCTAATGTAGGCCAACACATAGGTATGTGGAGTTCTCACTGTTAGGCTCCAAGACAGCAAAAACATTTGAATACATCCTACTTCTCTTTATGAGATTAAACAGTCATCAAGCTTCAACCTTTATCTCTAAAATTCATGACATGCATTCATTAAACTGCCATTAGGTATATTTTTTGTGTAAACATAAGCTTATTTTAAAAATGAGATAGATCTTTATCTGTGTTTGCAGAACAAATGCCATGGAATTGCAGCTATTGGAAAACTGTCCTTAGTCCAGCTTTCAAAGTACAGTACATCAGTACTTTTCATAGAATTAGACATGAAAGATACTTTGTAGATATTCAGCCAATTGCCAGAGTGATGCATGATCATGATCTACATAAGCCATCTTGTTTTTGCCTATTAGTACTGATGAAAACATGTTGCCGATTCTTTCTTTCTTTGCTTATAAGGCATTTTTGGCATAAGATCTTCCATATCAAGTGTGTGAAGTGGCACAAGGGGAATGTAAACAAGATTAGGAATCTAGCCAATAAAAGCTCATTTGACATGTTTCATGAGAGTACACAGGTGCTTTCTCATTCTTCTTGCTCGACAGATTTGCAGATAGCCTGGGAACATTTTATTTGTTTTAAAGAAACTTGTTATTTCTCCAAGCTGAAGCTAAAACTGTTCTGTTCACATGTAGTGCCCGTACCTATCCAATATCCCAGGTGCACTGGGCAGACAGGAGGTGTCATGCCAATTGACCAATAGGCTACACAAGTGGTCTCCAACCTCTTTAAGTAGGAGATTACCCTTGGCATTTAAAAGCAACCCAAGATCTACTGTGTGCTGCCGTCATCCTCCCTCCCCCCACCCAGCAGGTAAATCTGTGGGGAGGGAAGGGGGAGGAGCAGATCAAGGCAGGGGGAGAAAAAATTAATTTGGGGGTGCGCCTCCCCAGCAGGTAAGTCCCACCTGGCTGGGGCCCCATTCAACTTACTTCTGCTTCTGCAGCACTGTCCCTTACCAAGGGGGCCTCAATCTAGCCCCCGCCCTTCCCTCCCTGATGGACTGATCTGCTGGGCTGGGGCACATGCATGCATGCACGTGGATACTCAGCCCCCTACCCCAGCCTTGGATCAATTCCAGGAGGCTCCAAAATCTACCGCAAGAGGCTCCAAGATCTAGGCTACCTGCTCGTTCGGACAGAGGAACTTTGCCCCAAGCCTCTGAAGCCCATGACAGTCTCAGTCCTGGAGAAGTCCCTGTGTCTTTGATGGCTATCAAGTTGGCCTACACTAGAGAACTCATGCTTATGGAGCTAAAAGGATATAACTGGACACTGGGTTAAAGAAAGTAGCAGAATTACATCCTCTATGAATTTGGTATAGAAAGTAACATACAACACCACTGATCAGCTGCATCTATACACGCAAGCACTTGGCAGTGGTGTAAAAAAAAAAGCATGAAAATGTCCAGAATGATGAGTATAGTCTGTACACATTCTAACTGCAAATGACCTAGGCCAAGAAAAACATTCCTGACTCATTACACTGCATATTCCAAA